ACAACAATATTTTTTCTACTTTTGTCGTTTAGTAGAGATTTAAAAATAAATTAACACCCTCTTTTAATGCAACCATGTGCAGAACATGTTTTTCTCGTAGGCAATAAACAGAACAGAAAAAAAAGATACTCATGTTGATAAAAATTCTTCATTTTAGGCCGAAAAAACAACAAAAATTGACTTATAGAGGATAAAAAATGTCTTCATGCTTGGTACTTTTCACTATAAATAATATGAAAAATTCGAAGGCTTTTCGCCATATTTTTTTATAAAAGTACAAAACTATTTTTTTGTTATTCATTGATAGATCCAAAGATGAGTTTTGTAAATCAATATATTCCAAGACTAAGTCATTATGCATCATCTGAATCTGATATAAATATTTTAATGATGGGTGAAACAAGAGCTGGAAAATCAACATTTATTAATGCATTTGCTAATTATATTATATATAATACACTTAAGTAGGCTATTAGAGATGAAATGCAGGTACTCATACCTTCTACATTTTATATGATTGATCCAGACACAGAAGAATCTAAAACAATTTTGATTGGAACACCAAATGATGATGAAAAATGTGAAGAAGTCGGTCAATCAAGTACACAAATTTGTCAAAGTTATATATTTCCAATAGGAAATCGTTTACTACGTTTAATTGATGCACCAGGTGTTGGTGATGTAAGAGGTCTAAAACAAGATGCAAAAAATTGTGATCATATTCTTGCTTATATAAATCAATATGAACATTTAAATGGTATTTGTTTATTATTTAGACCAAATAATGTACGATTAACAATTAATTTTCGTTTTTGTTTTAAAGAAATCTTAACACATTTACATATTAATGCTAAAGATAATCTTATGTTTATATTTACTAATGGACGCTCAACATTTTATCGACCAGGTTCTACAACTCCATTAATTCGAACTCTTATTAAAGACTTAAATGATGCATGGAAAGTTGAAATTCCATTTAATAAAGAAAATACATTTATGTTTGATAATGAAGCATTTCGGTTTTTAGCTACATATAAAAATGGAATAAAATTTTCAACTGAAGAAGTGAATAATTTTAGTAAAAGTTGGGAAATATCAGTTACAGAATTTACTCGACTTATTGAACGTATTCTTAAATGTGAATTGCATGCTGTTAGAGATAGTATATCAATAAATGCTGCTCAACAACTTATACGTAAATTAATACGACCAATTGGTGAAATAGCTCGACTCATACAAGAAAATATTCAATTAGCTCAAAAACACAAAAAAAATGTATTAAACAATTCATTATCAACATTACCAAAACAAATATCACAAAAGAATGGAAAAGTTGTTCATTATGATTATTCACGCGTACAGTATGTACAAATAGACGATGTACTAAAATGATTGTTGTTGATGATCAACGAAAAGTCAATTATATAACTAAATGTCATGCACATTGTTATTTACGTGATGTTGAACAAGAATGTGTTGGCCATTCAATATTAAAATATTGTCATGCAATTCATAAACGCACAGGTTATTTCTTTTTTTAATGCAAGAGTATCAAACACGTACGCTACACCACGTAATACACTATTCGGAACAGTAGTAGTTTTGCAACAATAAGAAAGAATTGTAAAGCAAACTATGAAAGTTGTCAGACTAGAATCAGAAGAAAGTTAGATAAAACAAGAAAAATCTGTACGATTATTGAATAATTATTTGTACGGACAGATGTGATAGTGATAGGTGTTGTCGTTTTTGGATATTTCTTGACGATGCAGCATATAAAGGAGTAACTATTTATTTTAGCTAAAATCTTTGGTGTCTGTGGAAAACTATCGGATTTAGTTTTGAACAGAATTTCAAATCGAACTATTTTGATTTAACTTTACTAAAAAATATTTTACACTAGGCAGAAAATTCAGGAAAAAACCTATAACTTTTGTCTGTCACGTTATGATGATGAACGATTTTAAAATTTTCTTGGTCCCATTGTGTTCTATCGAAGTAAAAAAATCATCAGCTCAAAAGGAATGAATCAGTTAGAATGCTTCTTTCGTCGGACTTCACATGAACAAACAATCTTTGAAAAGAAAAAGAACAATAGCTAGTATAAAAATAGTCATCAAGTCTATATCTATATACTGGGTGATCTTTAGATCACTAGATGAAAAAAAAAAAACTCAATCACTTCAGTGTGCTTCAATCAATCAGACTGATATTTTTCTCTTTGATAGATGACTCTTTAAAGATTTTAGTCATAAGGAAATTGCCAAATAGATACTATAGAACTACTATCGGCGCCAGAATTCAAGGCAGTCGGATGGTTTTTGAATAACTTTTGATAGGAACAAGATAGAGACCTGCGGTTTTCAGTGTTGGATAGCCAAGACCTAGGAGCATATTTTCATAAGCAAAATCTTTTCTGAGAAAAAATTTGAAGAGTGGTTTTTTAGAGAATTTCTGAAAAACCATGCTGAATTTCTGAAAACTACCATAACAGTCTCTTGATTTTTTTACATATTCGGAATCCGCATCGAAAACTGAGTCGAATCACGCATGTTTCAAATCTTTTCACGAACTTTTTTTTCGTCGAAAAATTCACCCCTGGTCCCCATGAGGGGTAGGTCAAAAAATGAAGGCAGCCAAAACTCCGTTTTTATTGTTTATTGATTTGCCATTTTATGTTCTACTAGCATTTTAGAAGCTCCGAACTCGATTTCCGTTGTCCAAGTGACTTTTTGACTGACTTTATTTTTTGATCTCTTCCTCAGAAGGACCAGG